TTGCCCTCAGGCATCTGAGGGAATGGCAAATAACTGAGCTGAAGTGGTGGAAGGAGCAGATTTGTGATTCAGAGCAGCACAGAGGAAAATAAACTTGCTGAGGTCGTTGCAATAAATAAAAGCAAGGAAGGGTGCACACACAGTCAGGGGACATGGCTGGAAAATGGGATGAAAAATGGGGCTGAGGTAGCTTCTCACAAATGACTTGACCAAGAGAGTGTAAAAATGAAAAACAAAGGGGTTTGAGTTACACTGGTGCTGTGAGGAGAGCTGGTAAAAAAATCATTAAACTCTAGAAACCAAAATATCCAGGGCAAAAGTGGGTTTTCTTCAGAATGCTTAGGCCTGGAATGTGTGATTTTCACTCTATCAATGGGATAAAATCATCAAATTCCCAAGTTTTTCAGGCTCTTACAGGAAAACCAGGGTTTTAACATCATCTGTTTGTGTTTTTGTGCCAGGATATTTTGTTTGGTTTGCTGAAGAAGCTGTTCCTGCAGGAGAAGCCAGCAGGCAGGAGGACAGACATGAAGGTGGTGGTGATGTCAGCCACCCTGGAGGTGGAGAAGCTCTCCGAGTTCTTTGGCCACTGCTCAGTGCTGCACATTCCAGGCAGGAGTTACCCTGTCAAGGAGATATTCTGCAACCTGCTGAGCCCCAGGGATGTGGGCAGCTCTGCCTATGTCACAGAGGTTTGTTTTCCCTGCTTTTGGGATATTTTTCACCTGGAGGAATGAGCTGTTCTGTTGTGTTCTCAGCATCTCTGCAGGAAGCAGGGGAGGATCAGTTGGGATGGTGAATTAAATGAGATTTCAACTGATTTTGGTTTGTTTGTTGTTTGTTCCAGGCTGTGAAGGTCGCCCTGGATGTTCACTTAAATGAACCAGAAGGTGACATCCTGGTTTTCCTCACAGGTGAGAATTTTCCTGGGTGAATTATGGCACTGCCAGCAAAGCAGAAAAGTTTCCAGAGCCTGCCTGCTTTTCCCCAGAGCAGAGAGAGGGAAAGGTGCAGGCTGGTGCACAAAGTCCTGTGCAATGGTAATTTCAGAGCTTTTTAGGAATAACCAGATTGACTCTGTGTTGTCTGCATGGTTTAGATTGTTGTTAATTCAGGGAGGAAGAATTATTTGAGCTGTAAAATCCTACATCAATGCATGGGCCAGCCCCATATCTAATATTAATATCTAATGCAAAAATATCTAATTTTAAAGGCAAATCCTTGGTGGGAGGCCCTGTGGAAAGGCTGGGTGTCACCTCCCAAACCCCCTCTCGTTAATTCCTTATTTTAATTATGAATTATTTTAGCTGTAAAATCCTACAGCAAGGCATGGGCCAGGCCCATATCTAATATTAATATATAACAAAAAGATATCTAATCTTTTAAGGCAAATCCATGGTGGGAGGCCCTGTGGAAAGGCTGGATGTCACCTCCCAAACCCCCTCTCGTTAATTCCTTATTTTAATTATGAATTATTTCTAATATCCATCTAATTATTTCTAATATCCATCCTACAGCAATGCATGGATATTAGATATTGTGGATATGGATGGATTATAGATATTAGATATTAGATGTAATATCTAATATCTAATATCTAATATTAATATCTAATAAAAAGATATCTAATCTTTTAAGGCAAATCCTTGGTGGGAGGCCCTGTGGAAGGGCTGGGTGTCACCTCCCAAACCCTCTCATGAATTCCTCATTTTAATGATGCTGACCTATTACACATTGACAAAACAATTTCTTTTGAAGGTGTTGCAAACCAGGAACGCAGAGCTGTAGCTGATGAGGTGACTGAGATGCTCTTGTGTGTCTTTCAGGGCAGAATGAGATAGAGAGAGCCTGTGATGTGCTTTTCAGGAGAGCAGAGGCCATCGATTACCGCTACGAGGTGCACGACCGCGCTGTCGAGGGGCTCCTCATCCTGCCCCTCTACGGCTCCATGTCCACAGGTCAGAGCCCAAACCT